CCTACCAGTATCGAGGGCAACTTGGACGAAGCACCCCCTAACACTACAACCCCTACCCCACTTTTCAAAGTTTTTGGGTGGGAAGTACCGTCCCTACCCTGCCACTAACACCCCCACCCCCCTCTTCAAAGTTCTTGGGCAGAACGTCAACGTGTGCAGAAAGCCAGGTACGTTGTTGTCAATGTCTGCTGAAGCCCGTGCTGAAACCCCACCACTAACACCCTCACCATAACCCGCCCAACCCCCGACCCTTAACCCCTGAAATACCCCCACCCCCAACCCGCCAACCCCCCAAACGAAACTTCTCTGTTCAAAGTTTTCTTTGCGGATTCGGGGAGATCTCGGTGAGCGCAGTCCAACCATGTTTTCAAAAAAATAAAAATAAAAAAAATTGACTCAGTTTTGGACCCAACCGGAATTCCGGTTGGACCACCGGGGGTCCAACCGGCCTGGTTGGATCCGGGCTGGTCCAACCGGCCGGTTGCTGGCACAGCCATGAAAATAATAAAAAAAAAGTCACAGGCTGTTTCTTTTCACTTTTCCTCGTTTGCTTCTACGAAAAGGAGAGGTGTAAAAAAAAAAAAGAAAAAAAAGAAAGGGGAACAACAGAAAAGCAGGTGCGTAGAGCATTTGCACCCTCACACAGTATGAGGCTTGCTCATCTGTTCCTTATCCCTGCATTGACCACCACATATAGGCCTCTCTTTTTTGTGCCCGCCCCTGACCAACGTCCGACCCACCTCCTTTCTACCCTCCCATTTTCTTATTCCGTGCTCTAAGCAACCTCACCCCGGCCGGGGTTTTCCCTCCCTCTCCTCTCCTTACGTCAAAGGCTCCTCTCTCCCATCCTCTCCATGCCTCTTGCCTTCAATCCTTGCCAGCCTTCTGTAAACCCCCATTTAACTTTCCAGCGCATCAACAATTATACCCAGGCCTCTCATTCTTGGTATTGATCTTCCCATTCTGATCACTCCTGTGACCAATCCTACTCTGCCCTCTGCTGGTTCTCCTTCTCTAAGGAAACCCATCTGTCCCACCTGCTGAGGTTGTTGTGCTATATTCGCAAGTCTTCCTTGCAGAATCTCTCTCTCTCTCTCTCTCTCTCTCTCTCTCTCTCTCTCTCTCTCTCTCTCTCTCTCTCTCTCTCTCTCTCTC